GAAATATCAGTAAGTTCATATTTTAACTTCATATAAATATGATCATTTATATCATCTACTTGTAAAAAGCAAACAATTTGTTGTCTGTCGAACCGTAGATTTTTAAATTAGTTTTCTATATATGTTTCTAAAATATTAATAATTAAATTAATTAATAGTGTACTGTGAGTTCCCTAGTTCAACAAGTTAGTTCAGGAACCAACCCGCACTGCTCTAAAATGTCTGCTCCCACCTGTCCAGTTGTGAATGGCGCGTAATTCCAGGAAGTAAACGAGGCGTGTCGTAGCCTGGGACCGGCACACGACTGAAGTTTTCCAAAGAAGCATATAAACATGTTGTGGTGACGAGCGTGACGGGTGTTGGACACGGGACTGGCACGCGGCCACTTGAACTTGTTGTAATATTGTTGGCCAAATGAAAACATCAGCTACCTACATACATATATGGCGTGGGCTGACATTAAAATCAATAAGTTGTTGCCATTGTAATTGAACATGTTTGGGTGCTTTCTGCTCTGGGCATAAGGACATTAACATATGTATGTATGTACATATGGTACGAGTCTCAGTCACGGGAAATGCCCGTAACTAGTTTGCAGCAAAAAAGTAACTGCAAAAATGTAGCGAACATGCGGAAGTCGGAAATGCTTTGGCATGGCTTGCAGCTCTTCATGATGCAATGTGTATGCGTCTGTGCGTTTGTGTTAATGACGATAATGATGGAATGACGTTGACGGGGATGGCACGCTGATAATGACGACGCTGTCGATGACTTTGCGTTCTGCTGAATGTATGCCACAAGGTAATTGAAGTCGTCTAGCTAAAGCGATAAAGACCTTAAGGCAAATTAAAAACTACTATGTACTTGTACATACATTTGTAGCCACACTTGAAGAGTGCTAGCGATTTGCAGCGTTCAATCGGTTCTATATTAACAAGTCGATATGATGTTATGCAATGCTACATAAATCAAATGTGAGCTCTTTGTGAATATTGTGGTGGCGCCATCTACACATATTTGACTAAAATTTTGATCAAACCATCTAATAGTGTACAAATTCATCAAATTTTGCAATTACTTTTTCAATTTAAGCCAATAACCAATCTAAACTTAGTTCATTTGTGAAAAAACCACAAGTTTGTGTGAAATTTTTCATTGTTTTTCTCATGTTAGGATTTAGGTGTGTTTTAAAAACGGTGAAAAGGTTCACAAATGTTAGTCAATCAAAACTGTATATTAATTTAAATTATTCAGTGTAATTTATGACATTTGAATTATAAATATTCAAAAAAATCAATTCATCTTATTGAACGAAATTTTAGGTTTTAAGTGTGGGTGTGGTTTGTTTTCAGTCAAATGCTAAGCTATGTTCTAATTTAGACCAATTACCACTTAGCTGAAGGATCGATGAGCTAAAATATTTATTCAAAATATTTTAGATCTAATTTAAATGTAGAGAGCCACGCTGTTCGATTGATTTATGGCTAAGATATACATGAATACAAATAAAATGCAATCGGTTAATTGGAATTAAACTAAATTAAAAACTAAATTAATTCACATTGGAAGAAACCACAAAATCTCTTGATAGGAAGACAGATAGTTCCTTTGGCAGCTATACAAAATAATGAGGTTATATATGTATTTTAATGTGTTTGCTATGCTCATGGATAAAAAAAAGTCTCATGAAACGCTTGACAGTCCTACCAGGTGACAAAGATTTGCTGTTCATCCAGACGGACACATATATGTAAATATCGGCCCCACTATTACAACAAACTTAAAGGCTTAATATTCGTTATTGACTCGCTTAAGAGTTCTATAATCTGCAAGACATAGAAATACTTTTAAGACAATTTGTTTTGAGTAACTTTAACTATGGTTCGTGGCAGTTTGGTTCCTTAGTATATGCATGAGCACTATGCTTAAGCCTTTACACGCACACTTGGTACTAACCGGTGCCTTTAAAAGTCCATAAAATCAATGTAAATACTTTCTGGTTTCAATTCAGTCCATTTGAATCTAATTTGTTATGCTCGAACTCCCAAGAAAATCTATACCGAACTGCTGCCACACATGAACCAGCTACCAGCATTTTACACAAACGCATTTACAAATGTACATACATACGTATGTATCTATGTATATATTTAGATACACGTTATTGTATGTAAAGCATATTTATCCCTACAAAGCCGTTCCGTTCACAAAATATTCATTAAACTTAGGCACAAACTTTGGGAGTATACAGCCAAAAATAGCTTCTGTCGTCCTTTTTGATTTCGACTGCCTGCCTACCCGCCTGGGTGCCTGAGCCTTTGGGCTGGAATCCCTGCTCTGACTGTGAGATTCAATTTGCACACACGGCGTCACCATCGTAATATATAATTCGAAAATTTTGTCAGACATCGTCGGTGGGCCGCTGGCGACGCAGTTGAGCTTGAAATGAGCATTCAATTTGTTGGAAATTTTTCAATTTCAAATTGTCGCCAACTGCACAAACAAACATTCAAGCACCCAGTCACACACACACTTATATAGAATGTTTGTTGTGCCGTAATCAAATCAAAGCCAATGAGTTTAAAGACCTGCTCGGGGTGCTAGGGGTGCAGGGGTGAAGCAGCCATTGGCCATCATCAGCATCATTGCCTCATAAGTACATAAATGAGGATGCATTCAATTAAATTCTTATTTTTCACTTTTGGGCAATAGAAGACACCCGTCCCTCTACACGTAGAAGAAGAGATCACAAAACAAACTATTTTAAATAATAAAAATGAGTATCTTCAACTCAATTTCTTTCAGAGTTCAGTCAATAATTGTTTCATTTCAAATTGGGATTTTGATGATTAAGAAAACCTGTCAACAATTAGTCCGTTTGAAGCTAAGGATTGCAAGAAAGCGAACAGAATTGGCCAATAGGAAAGGCGCTTTCACAAAGATATCGCCAAGCCACATACATCATAAGCAGAGGAAATTCAGGGAGCAGGATGAATGCATCCAACGTATAGTACCAGAGCTAAGTATTATAGCTGCCACTGGAGGAATCGGGCGATATTCCAAGAACTTCTTTGTTTTAAAGCTATCTCTACAAAACTTAATATGTTCTTGTTTTCAATATATGTACTTGTACATATATTTTTTAAGATGTTGTTTATTCAATATAAATATTATTAGTAGACTCATGTATTGCTACTTATTTACTAACAATGTATTAAAGGTTAGTTAACACTTGATTGGGAACGGCGCTCTAACACTTTTACTTTGATTTTGGTAGTGCCTTATAAATGCCGTTACTTAAATGGGGCGCTCGGTTTTTTGTTCATAGCTCCAAATGGCTTTTAATGGACCTCGCCTCGCCCATTGCTCGCTTTGTGATTGTTGTCGTTGTCTCTGATGATTGTCATTTGCCGGAAGACATCAATTGAGGGAGGACGGAGGGTCGAGCGGCAGCCTACGGTTGTTGTGAGCAAATAGCGAAGAACTGGAGGAGAGGTGAGGGGTCTATGAAGCGCCTGCGTTGTACGCTTGCGCAATTTAATTGCTTAATTATTTTGCTCGCATTGTAAAGCGCAACAGATACAGAAACAGATACAAATGCATGACAGTACTTAGATACATAAATATCTTGCATAGAAATGTCTGACAAAGGTCGCAATTTCTCAGCTAATGAGCGCGGCATAGCACTATTCTACTACTGCCGGGCATTGGGTTCAAAGCACTTTATACAAAATCCAATTCAGAGGCAAAAACAAAATAATATAAAAACAGCCCCAAGCAAATTGTTGAATAGGGCAGCTGCAGGAGGCCAGCGAGAGAGAAGCGTGCTGGCTTAAACCAGTTAGGCAAGATTTCGCAAATTATACGACGAAACTCTAAGCCAAGTGCCTCATAAATAAAGATTTGAATGGCGCCTTTCGCAGATTCGTTCTTTGCAATGTCTCTTTGCAATTCAAGTTCAGGGGAAGAAAAGGCGCTACAAACCAATTACATACTCGTACATCGTACGTGTATCTGATTTCTGAGCATCTTTCTGAGAGCCACCATTCGATCTGAGCTCCCGTCTGTGTTTGCTTTCTTTTTGCTGGCTTTGCCGACAGTATTGCGGCTTTTTAACATTTTTATTTATAAGTCTTGCTCTTTTTCTGTTCAATAAAATTGAAAGCACAGTTTCGTTTTTCTTTCTTTTCTTTTGTTGTTGTTGTTAAGCGAACTGAGTGCAAGCAAATAATAAAAGAAAAGATACAGATGTGGGCGTTGATTTTTTAATGAATGGTTGTCGTTAAGAATTCTGTAGCTTTCATTCGTTTGTGGACTTTTGAAGTGGCAATCAAATGGGCATTTAACTCACTCTACAGCATCGGGTAGAGATCGGATTGAGAAGCAAACAATATTCGTTTGAACCGATTTAGAATTGGTATAGTTTTGATTATAAACGAAACTTTACTGAGGGGACTTAACTGATGCCATAACATACATACATACCAACATTTATTTCAATTGTCTGGTCTGCTAGCTCTAATATATTTTTGCAGTGTATTTGAATTTTTAGTTTGATTTTCTGTGAACTTGCTTTGCTTCCATTTAAGGAATATTATAAAATATATGGATTCTAAGAAGTTGTTCTGGCTTTTTTATTCGTGCATACTTTTTCAGTACTGTTATTTGTGTTTTTTTTTTTTCTAAGATCACCCATTTTTGTTATTATCGTGCAAAAATATATGGACTACCCGCATTTGAAATTATAAAACAATTCATTCAAATTGTGGAGCGGGGTTTTTCAAGAAAAACGTAAAATTGCGATAACGTCAAAGCATCTTCCTTTTCATTCTCAGATAACACAAATATAATATATGTATATAAATATATATAATGTGTAAAATGTAGAAGAGACATTGATAAATGTATGTATTGAAAGCAGTTTTTCACTTTTCGATTGTACACATATTTTAGAGGTCTATTGATTTTCAAACAATATCTATGCTTGCATTTAGACTCACCTCGAGAAACAGCGGTTATAGGCGTTGTTGACGTCACAGCAGCTGATTTGTATTAATTACGAGTGTTGGAGGTGCGGCAAAATAGAAAACAGTTAAACAGTTTTTGCATTCAATCGGAAAACCCTGCTTACGGCCTTATGACACCAATCTAAAAACTAAGCTTAACGGAAAAATCGGGCTAAATACCCAATCACGCATTATAAACATTAAACAAAATGTTTTTCGTTGCAAAGGAGGCGTCAAAAGAAGAGGGCCGGCAGAGCGCAACAGCTGGGATGGAAGGTGTTTGGCTAATCCCGCTATTGATGCATAAAAGTCAATTAATGTTAAAAAATTACTTTTAAAAAAAGTTTTGCTTGTTCAATTGGTATAAGAAACTATTTTCTGCTATGCAAACGGTCATAAAAAAATTAAATTGAAAGCAGTCACACACTTAGTTTTGTTTTCACAGCTTGTTCGATTTATTTTCATTGCCGAATGCAACATTTCTTATGGGTCTGTTTTGAACAGCTGTTCGCCAAAAATCTATTTTTCTTCTTCATCGGTTGCTGGACTACATAACCAAAATTTATTTTGCACATATATGTACATATATATGTAGGTCTAATTTCAAGTCTAGTGGTGTCCATAAGGCCGCAAGAAGCAGCAGCAATACCAACAACAACGGCAACAAAACCTCTCAATGAGAGCCAAAAATCGAACACAGCTGCCAAGGGGCGTCTATTTATTACAAGTTGTTGTTATTCGCTGCAACTGTTTAGATTTTATACAAATTTTAGAGTACTCGGGCAATTTGTTGCGTTGTTGTTTTTTATTGCAGGCTGCATTGTGTATTTATTGTTTAAGCACACTCATTAATAAAACAAAAATTTAATAGAAGCAGCTACGGTTTGCGTTTTTATTTTGCACACACACACACGCACACATATACACAAACACACTCACGCAAACAGTCTCAGTGGGAGAGTATATGTGATAGAGAATAACGGAGCGAGAGCCAGAGGGGCGGACTAAAAACACCACACATTTTCAACTAGAAAAACAATTTGTTGTTTTTAAAGTGACTTGCACTGTTATGTTGATATCAAAGCAATGCTTTTGCATGCATTTTAAGCAAATTAATTAACATTTTTACTGGTGAAATGTTTCGCCAGACAATAGCAACACACACGCACATACACACACAATGGAGAGACGCACGGCTTACTCGGATTCCAAACGAAAGTTTGTGTCGATATCGATGTAAGTTAGCTTTTTAAAGTCGCGCGCACTTTGCAATAGTTTAAATTATTATTCGCCAACTATTGTTGCTTAAACATGTCAAAATATATTGATGGGCGCAATGCAAATGAACACCGAATGCGCCACCCACAAGCTGGAGATAAAAACTGCCGTGGTACGCGACAACCAAATTGACTATTAAGACTGAACATTGAACTAAGTGTGACCGTAAGCTGCAGTTGCAAAAATACCACATACCAAAGATATACCAAAATACCGCCTTGTTAATTTAAGATATTACTGAAAAATACATTTTGTTTTAATATAAGAAACAATGTTTATAACAATAAAACCAATTTTAAAACTAAACATAACAGAACAAATATAAATGGTTAGTATTAATTTACCTTTTGAATAAAAGCTGTCAGATCGATTAGAAAGGCTTAACAAATATCGGGTTTTTTTGAACTTGTAGTATAAACATTAATAAATAATAAATAAATACAAAGTAAAATTAAACCAACGGATGTATTAATAATCGTATATGTTGGACTTAAAATACAAACAACAACTGTAACAACAAAATTCTTAAATAAAAACTTAATATCGCAATGAACCGATTTGGTATCTACAAATGCCAAATGTGTGTTTAAAATACCAAAATGGGTAACACTTTGATACTAAGATACGGTTGATATTTACTTTGATGTGTTTATTCGCCAGTAACAATTGAGACCATACTAACTAAAGATATTCAAAACTCCAAGAGAATAACTAACATAAACTACTAATAATTAATTAATTAATCTCAGCTTGTTATGTTTATTAATCTTCAGGACATTTAATAAACGTCGTTGATACTGCAATGCACGAAAATCGAACTATCGTCTAAGAATTTCTATCGATATGGCCGGGCTTGCGGGATGTCGATATGTTGAATATAGGCAGCTGAAGTGGTGAGTAAGTTGCATATTCGTACTTAGCAATGGGGAATACACCATACTGAAGGTGGATTAGGTGGAAGGGCATTTTAGATTACCAAAATGTATTTATTTAGTTATCAAGAAAATTAAATTTTAAAGGATTTAAAGATTTGTTTTGAAAATGAACAATTTCTTATGATCGTTGTTTAAAAGCATAGCTAACTAACTATATCTACAAAAAGTGCATCACAATATTCGCTTTAAGTTGAGACACAATACCGTACTATGTTGAGTTATAAAAGCTTTAGCTTGTACTTCCACCAGGCAGAGTGATTCATTCGTTGTCCATTGCAACCCAAATTTTAAGTTTTATTTTTCCAAAGGAAGCATTGACAGCTTAAAATTAAAAACATAATACTAATTAATTTCAAATCAACTAATAATGTAACCACGGTTGCAACTGCAGGTACTTTTGTATCAAAGCTAGTAATTTGTTTTATTGTTGGTCGCCTGGTCCATTTATTTTCAAAATGGCACTTATATAAACAACGTAAATTTATATAAAAACATATTCAATCATTAATTGAAATATGAATAATATTGAATATTAAAATGTGATCAACTAAATGTTGAACTATATTTAACTTTCATATGCGTCCACTTTGTATTTGAAAATTACTTTCTAATAAAAAGTGTTCTATATAAGTAAATATATCGAATATCATTATAAAATGTTATTATTAAAAACTATTAAGTTCAGTAGAGTAGACAAAAAGTGAAAAAAATATTTCATAATTACAAAAAAAAAAAAAAAAATCCTTTGATGTAATCAAACCCATGCCCACGTAATCACTTGTGATTCAATATCGTCCACTTTAAATATAATATTAAGCCCGAAATTGAAGTGTGCATACTTAAATCAATGTTAAAAAATATTTAATTCTACGTGTTTTTTTTATGAGTGTAGCCTATTATTTGTTTATAAAAACAAATTAAAATATTATTTAAGTAGATTTAAAAAGGAAAGCAAATACATGTACCAGGAATAAAATTAAAGCACTGAAAAAGTGCCGACACCATAGAAAGAACGTATGGAAATATTAAGGCGCAACTCAGGGTATCTCAAAGATACATTTGTTTTGAATCCAGTGGCAATGGAATGTCAGCACAAAATACAGTTTCCAACACTCAGCATTCGCCAACGACCATACCACGCTGAATACATCGGTTCTCGTCTGATCACCGAAATTAAGCAGCGTCGGGCGCGGTTAGTACTTAGATGGGGGACCGCTTGGGAACACCGCGTGTTGTTGGCATCAGTCAATGACAACTTTTTGCCTGCCTCTCTGCTGGTGGTTGCTGCAACAAATTCGGGAAACATTATCTCGCACAACACTTTGTTATCCTCTCTAAGCAGTGTTTTATTTTTAACTCTTTGCTAATTCTGCCATAACATTTTTTCTCCAAAAGAACAAGTTGAAAAGAAAACGGAAATATAATAACAAGCCTTCATTGTGTTTGTTATTGAAAAATAATTAACTATACTTTGTATTCAATTTACTCGTGGAGGATTATTGATTAACATAAGAAACGAAGAACGAAATGGCAAAGCAAATTAAAATAATATTTAAGTCGATTTTAAAAGAAAAGCAGGTACAGGGAATGAAATTATAAATGCTCCCAACCGATTAGTAAGCACTTGGACGAAAGGATTTAAATGCTAAGATACAACTCAGCGTATCTGAAAGATACTTTTGTTTTGAATCCAGTGGCAATGGAATGTCAGCACAAAACACAGTTTCCAACACTCAGCATTCGCCAACGACCATACCACGCTGAATACATCGGTTCTCGTCTGATCACCGAAATTAAGCAGCGTCGGGCGCGGTTAGTACTTAGATGGGGGACCGCTTGGGAACACCGCGTGTTGTTGGCATCAGTCAATGACAACTTTTTGCCTCTGCTGGGTGGTTGCTGCAACAAATTCGGGAAACATATCCCTCACTACACTGTGCTACTCTCTCTAAGCAGTGTTTTATTTTTAACTCTTTGCTAATTCTGCCATAACATTTTTTCTCCAAAAGAACAAGTTGAAAAGAAAACGGAAATATAATAAGAAGCCTTCATTGTGTTGGTATTGAAAAATAATTAACTTTACTTTATATTCAACGAAATGGCAAAGCCAATTAAAATAATATTTAAGTCGATTTTAAAAGAAAAGCAGTTACAGGGAATGAAATTATAAATGCTCCCAACCGATTTGTAAGCACTTGGACGAAAGGATTTAAATGTTAAGATACAACTCAGCGTATCTGAAAGATACTTTTGTTTTGAATCCAGTGGCAATGGAATGTCAGCACAAAACACAGTTTCCAACACTCAGCATTCGCCAACGACCATACCACGCTGAATACATCGGTTCTCGTCTGATCACCGAAATTAAGCAGCGTCGGGCGCGGTTAGTACTTAGATGGGGGACCGCTTGGGAACACCGCGTGTTGTTGGCATCAGTCAATGACAACTTTTTGCCTCTGCTGGTGGTTGCTGCAACAAATTCGGGAAACATTATCTCACACAACACTTTGTTATCCTCTCTAAGCAGTGTTTTATTTTTAACTCTTTGCTAATTCTGCCATAACATTTTTTCTCCAAAAGAACAAGTTGAAAAGAAAACGGAAATATAATAAGAAGCTTTCACTGTGTTGGTTATTGATAAATAATTAACTTTACTTTGTATTCAATTTATTCGTGGAGAATTATTGTTTAACATAAGAAACAAAGAACGAAATGGACCATAGCTTATGATTTGTTTATAAAAGCAAATTAAAATAATATTTAAGTCGATTTTAAAAGAAAAGCAGTTACAGGGAATGAAATTATAAATGCTCCCAACCGATTTGTCAGCACTTGGACGAAAGGATTTAAATGTTAAGATACAACTCAGCGTATCTGAAAGATACTTTTGTTTTGAATCCAGTGGCAATGGAATGTCAGCACAAAACACAGTTTCCAACACTCAGCATTCGCCAACGACCATACCACGCTGAATACATCGGTTCTCGTCTGATCACCGAAATTAAGCAGCGTCGGGCGCGGTTAGTACTTAGATGGGGGACCGCTTGGGAACACCGCGTGTTGTTGGCATCAGTCAATGACAACTTTTTGCCTCTGCTGGGTGGTTGCTGCAACAAATTCGGGAAACATATCCCTCACTACACTGTGCTACTCTCTCTAAGCAGTATTATATTTTGAACTTCTTGCTAATTCTGCCACAGCATTTTTTTTCCAAAAGAACAAGTTGAAAAGAAAACGGAAATATAATAAGAAGCCTTTATTGTGTTGGTTACTGAAATATAATTAACTTTACTTTGGATTCAATTTATTCGTGCAGAATTATTGTTTAACATAAGAAAGAAATAACGAAATGGACCATAGCTTATGATTTGTTTATAAAAGCAAATTAAAATAATATTTAAGTCGATTTTAAAAGAAAAGCAGTTACAGGGAATGAAATTATAAATGCTCCCAACCGATTTGTAAGCACTTGGACTTGGACTTGGAAAGGATTTAAATGTTAAGATACAACTCAGCGTATCTGAAAGATACTTTTGTTTTGAATCCAGTGGCAATGGAATGTCAGCACAAAACACAGTTTCCAACATTCAGCATTCGCCAACGACCATACCACGCTGAATACATCGGTTCTCGTCTGATCACCGAAATTAAGCAGCGTCGGGCGCGGTTAGTACTTAGATGGGGGGACCGCTTGGGAACACCGCGTGTTGTTGGCATTAGTCAATGACAACTTTTTGCCTCTGCTCTGCTGGTGGTTGCTGCAACAAATTCGGGAAACATTATGCCTCACAACACAGCAGTTTTATAATTTTACTTTTTTGCTAATTCTGCCATAGCATTTTTTTCCAAAAGAACAAGTTGAAAAGAAAACGGAATATAATAGAGGCCTTCACAATGCATTGATTTCTTTATTGGAAATGAATTTAGATTACTTTTCAACCAATTTAATAATTACAAGGAATGTAAAAATGAATATTTTCATATTTAATTTATTGTTATAATATTTCGTATTTCAATCGAAAATATTAACAAAGTATATTTAACTAAAAACATATTCAATCACTGATTAAAATATAAATAATATTGAAAATAAAGTGGAAATCTTTGCCA